ATTTATGAGCACTTTTAATTACTAAAGCATACTGTTAAACACACCAAACACATCACATAAGTGTTTAAAGATCAGAAATGAACATTAACTGGAAGACATTTTAGAAAGAGTTTCTTAAAGCCACAGTTCACATAAACAAGACAATTCTGTCATAATTTACTCCTTAAACCTGTTTGAGGTGCTTTCAGCCATTGACTTCCACAGTATTTTGTGTTCCTACAATTAAGGTTAATGGCTGCTGATTTCAGGAATTTTCTTCAGAATTTGTAGTTTTGTGTAAAAAACAGAAAAAATAAGAATTATTTGTATTAGGATTTTTTATTTCAGTGAGCTTTGCCTTTAGATATATAGTTTACTTGTTTGCTAATTCAATGCAGAAAACCCATGAAGATCATCAATAAAAACACATTGAGTAATGTTTCTGCAAATGAACTGTTCAAATATCTTGTCAAAAAGAGTTGTAGAGTCATATTAATGATGTTCCTTCCTCTCATTAGATCAGCTATGTGTGCAGGAGATCCACGAACTTCACGCAGAGCCCATCAGTAGCTCTAAATTCTTCTGCACTGCTGTGAGCAACCTGGAGCTGGAAGTTCTCCAACCTCCAGCTCTTGATGCTCCAGCAGACGAAGATTTGGACTCTAAACCGGAAGTGAAAAGCTTTGACTCTGCAGTGGTCATTGACAACGACTCTGCAGAGCTTCACTTCCCAGAAGACAACGAATCCTCCCTCAGTGAGGACAGCCTGGAGCAAGAGCTTGATAGTCCTCCAAGTTCACCATCTGATGAGGACAATGAATCTCCAGTGAGCCAGCAGCTCATAACAGATGACATCTGTGACTCTGCCCTGGATGAAAACTCGAACCCTTTACCGGATCAGGTCTCACAAGAGGACTCTGCTGTGAAGTCTACAGCAGATGATGGGACCTGCTTGGACAATAGTAAGTTTATTGCTGGAGTTCAGAACATTTGTTTAGGCTCATCAAACTTTGTAAAATTATACAGTTGTAGTCAAAATTATTCACCCTCCTGTGATTTTTTATTAATATTTTTTAAATATTTCAAAAATGATGCAGAGCAATAAAGTTTAAGTATTCAGAACTTTAAGCTGAACACTGGTATCTTGAAAATATCCAGTAAATATGATGTACTGTCATCACGACAAAGATAAAAGACATCAGTTATTAGAAATGAGTTATTAAAACTATCATGTTCTGAAATCTGACAATAATTCTGACTTCAACTGTTTGTGTTTTTATTTGGTTTATAATTTAATGACATTTTCTTCATTTTTAACAGATGACATCAGCTGCCGCTACAAACTCGGAAAGCAGCTTGGTGAAGGAGGTTTCGGCTCCGTGTATGAGGGGATTCGCATACAGGATGGTCTGCAGGTATTCATTTTTGTAGACTCAAATCCTCTGATGAAGTTCCCTGTTTAAAGAACATCATCAGAGCTTTCATTGTTTGGACATTTCTGCTGACGAATGAATCCTCTGTTCAGGATTTATGACTGAATGAAATGATCTCCGTGCACATGTTAATTGTTCGCTTGTTCCTTTAAACAGGTGGCAGTTAAATTTGTCCAGAAGACCCCAAATATGCAAGATGTCAGCTCTGTGAGTAGACTACACTTTCTGTTCGCTGTGTTCAGTTTATAAAGTCTTATATTTATTATAGACCACAGGCTGTGGTCAGAAACCCTTGTTTGAAAACCAACATTATTATTTTGTTTTCAGTCATGTGACCAGCCACTTCCTCTAGAGATCACCTTGGCAAACATGGCCAGCGGTGGCTCCAGGTGTCCGAATATTATTAAGCTCCTGGACTGGCAGGTCTTTGAAAACCATTATGTCATGGTGATGGAGCGGCCTAGTCCAAGCATGGACCTGGAGGCATTCCTTGAAGTCAGCGGAGGAGTCCTCAGTGAGAAAACAGCACATACCATCATGAGGCAAGCTGTTTATGCGGCCAACGTGTGCTGTTACCGCGGGGTGTTCCACCGGGACATTAAGCTT